AGCAAATTTGGACAATATTCTTAAGTACTTTTATTACTGTAGTTTTCTACTGGCGAAATATTGTACCACGTCATTGATAAAACAGATTTATTATACTTTACCGCAGTGGAATTCCACTTTTATCTTTATGCTCTTTCCATAGGTGGAAAAGGAGGTGCATGGTGTAGACGCACAAATAGCATCAGTAGCGGGCAACAAGGTGAAGAACTTGCAGAGTATAGTCGACGACTTAAGCAAGAAGATAAATAAAATCGGTGCTGAAATATCCAAGCTGAAAGTCGCTATTAATGCTAGCATAAGGTTCATTTTTGTTTCAATATTTATAATTATATCAGTTGTCGCCCCTGAACTTGTTCAAGTGGAATTAAAAAACAGTACATTAAACTTACATCCTGATCTATTCAGCTGTACTGGAGTAACGTTGGAAGTTACCACTGGTAACAAGACTCCATTCAAACTTTCGCATCTATAATGTTAAGTACTAAGTGGCTCCCTAAATGTAGATATGAATTTATACAACAATTTTACGAAGAAATATACTTAATAATTATAATACATTAATTTAATTAAGGATTAAATCGTGTTTGTTTCAGAAATGCTAAAAAGTCAAAAGACAAAATAAGTCAAATGCAAGCAGATTTGGAGGAAACGGAACGTAATATAACGAGGTTAAATGAACAGAAGAGAACACTTACTGTGGAAAATAAAGAATTACAGCAAAAATTAGATGAGGTATTTCATTTTACTAAGTTTAATTACCGTAGATTTCCATCGAAAAACTAAAAGATTTGCAAAGCATCTACAGTTCCTCCAATGTTGATTATATGCAAAAAAGTAAAAACATATTGGCATCCTCCTTATTCTCTGAAAAAACAGAGACGCAAATATGTTTTCGTGCATATTACGGTGGAAACTCACGGCTATTTATAATAATATGAGAAATTTACATTTTAAAATGTCCTGTCCAATTATTGTTTTCTCTATTACCCAAATATGTAATATTTTCATATAAACTTTTTCTTATTCGAATTTTACATCAACAGATAACAGAAGAAATCAACGAAGGTTCGGGAGAATTTTCTGGTATAAAGAAAGAGATAGCATCATTGCAAGAGAAGGAGAACAAACTGAAGGGAGAAAGATTGGACGCTCAGAATAATGTCAACAAAATGGAAAAGTCCTTAGAAGATGCTGCAAGTAAAATACCTTTGTGGGAGAAAGAGGTAAATTATTCAATATTTCATTTGGAATTCTAGAGTAAACTTTTCTTGCATCTATATTTAATTATTTCAACTTTATTTTTTAAAAAGAGAAAAGTATCTTACTTCTTACTAATATTATAAATGTGAATGTTTAGATGGATGTTTGTTTGAAGGTATCTCTGACACGGCTCAACGGATTTCACTGAAATTTGGTATAGATGTAGGAGAGTCTGGAAGACCCCATAGGTTAACTCTTAAGTTTTTTTTAATGTACGGCCAGAGTCGCGGACGTCAGCTAGTTTACAAATAATTCGTAACCTATGTAAAATAATGTGCTTAAGCAAACATTAGTTTCAAAATTAACAAACAAATCCGTATTTATCAAAACAAAAAAAAATCCTTACTGTAATCTCCGCTAAAATATAAGCTATCAATTTAAATATTATAATAATTTAAGTTTTCGTACTACAGCTCTCAGCAATAAAGCTAGAAGATCCGTGTGTAGAGGGCGTGCCGGGCATCGAGCGGCCCGAACCCCTCGTGCGCCACGACCCCACCGAGCTGGAGGAGTGCTCAGTGGACGAGCTGCGCAACAGGCTCAAGGCGCAGAAGACCAGGCTGGGAGATGCCAAGCCTAATATACAGGCTATACAAGTCAGTAACAAAATAACTTGGCGGATTAACTTCAGCTGCGCAGTGCCTTCCCTCCGTGTCCCTTTATGTCCCACTACACCCAACATTGTATTCTGACTCGTCAAGATATTTGAAAACTTCTATACTATAAGTTTATTTTTATTACAAAGAACTAAGGAACAGGTTCGTGATGTACTATGAAATCGCGTCAAAATATTTTTTACTACAGAAACAGGGTTATACATAATTATCTTACTTTATACTAATAGATAAATCCGAAAGTTTAAATGGATGGATGGAAGTTTGTTCTACAAATATATTTTTTTTAATTTTTAGCTATATTATATTTTTAGTTATATTTAACAGACGGAGTCACGTACGAAAGTTATTCTTATGTAAATAATGTTTAATGTAAATAGGTTTAAACTTTATATTTATATATTTTTTAATTTAATTTTTCCAGGACTATAAGACCAAAGAGGATTTATATTTGAAAAGGGCGGCGGAGTTGGATGAAATTACTACAAAGAGGAACGAAATGCGTGCCCTGTACGATCAGCTGAGGAAGAAACGAACTACAGATTTTCTTTGCGGTATGTTGTCACTAATGATCTGTCCCGACTTCATACAAGTGGTTTTTTAAACAATATGAAGTATAGACTGTTGTTCAGGAAAAATGAAGCTTTTTAATAGTTAGAGTTTATGAACTCCGTTCAGTAGTTTTTGAGTTTTTTGTTACACACAACGCTTTATTCTTTATTAAGGATAAATGCTCAAAAATTTACTAGAAAATAGTCCTACAAGATATCCAGGTGTATTTTTTTATATTTATAATAAGTCGGTTATAAAAGGAGGTAATCTTCATTATAAGTTATTCAAAAACATATAATTTCAGGTTTTACAACAATAACAACAAAACTAAAGGAAATGTACCAAATGATAACACTGGGCGGTGACGCAGAATTAGAACTTGTGGATTCATTGGATCCTTTTACTGAAGGAATTATATTCAGGTGAGATTATTTTAATTATATTACTAGCTGTCGCCCGCGACTCCGGCAACATTATATAACTTAATTAGTAGTCTATGTGTTCTTCCAGACTATGATCTACATATGTGCCCAATTTCATCAAGATCCATTCAGCCGTTTCAGAGATACCTTTAAACAAACATCCATCCATTCAAACATTCGCATTTATAATATTAGTAAGATTAGCTGTCACCCCTGACTCCGTCCGAGCGGTGAAAAAAATAATTAAAAGCCTATGTGTTCTTCCTGACTATGTTTTATATCTATACCAAGTCTCAGCGGAAACCATACAGTTGTTCTGGAGATATCTTCAAACAAACATCCATCCATTCAAACATTCCCATTTATAATATGATTTATAAAATGAACTTCTGTAATATATTTTAGTATATAAAGTTTTTTCATTAATAGTTACAAAGGTAGGGGAAGACCGAACCAAGTATGGATCGTGTGAAATAGTAATGAAATAACTAGTAATAATTTTTTTTTATTTGTTCGGGAATGCTTATCAACATGTGATTCAATTATTAATAAAAAGACTTAATAATATTTTTTGAATAATCTTATAAATGCTACTATTTGGACGTTAAAAGGTATCCAGAAGGAAGATGAGTAGAGAGATGATTTGATGATTCGTTTTTTTTTTTATTTCAGTGTCCGTCCTCCGAGTAAATCGTGGAAGAACATATCTAATCTGTCCGGTGGCGAGAAGACCCTGTCTTCACTGGCTCTGGTGTTTGCGCTACATTACTACCGCCCCACACCTCTATACGTCATGGACGAGATCGATGCAGCGCTTGACTTTAAGAATGTCTCCATTGTTGCTAATTATATTAAGGTATTCGCGACTTTGTCAACTTGGAATTTAAAGAAAAAACTAAGTCACTCATAAGCTACCTTACAGTCAAAGCCTCGTTATAATTTGTCCAGCCGTTTCGAAGATTACCCTGAACAAACGCAGACATACAAAAATTACAAAAAATAATAATCATAAAATTCAGTTTTTAATAAACAGGTTGTGTTTTCCAAATGTCTTGGGAAATCCCAAATTTTTTGTTATAATGCTTACATCCTAATAAGTGTACGCGGAAATGTTTAAGTGCTACTTAAGAAGTCACAAAGTGTAGATTTCTCTTTTAGTTCACAAAATCGAAAGAGCTGTATATCATGTTTCCCTTGTCATTCTGTTGGAAGAAACAAAGATAGCATGTTTTTATAGAAATGTTTCGTCAATAAAAACCCAAAGTATTTTGATTTCAGGAACGAACGAGAAACGCTCAGTTCATTATAATATCTTTACGATACAATATGTTTGAGGCATCAAATCGTCTGGTCGGCATTTACAAGACTGAGGACTGCACAAAATCCGTCACCATAGAGAATAAAGTGCCGGATCTGCCGGTCGGGGACGCCGCCGCATAACTTTACTTGTAACATGATCTTATAATGTAAGTTACCTATCAATTGTGAACTTCGTTATTCTATAATTGCCCTAAATCAATTTTTAAATTGTAAATTCATCTAATCATTCGGAGTTAACGTATTGTCAAATGTTAAGGTTCCTATACCGATTATAAACTGACGAAGTACACAATCGACTTTTTTATGTACGGAAAATGCATTGCATTGTATGTGGCAATGTTTTTATTTACCGAGGATTCTCCACTTGTATTAAAACTTAGTTGTCTCTGTTTTTTCTTCAATGAAAATAAGCGGGATGATAATATGTGAAGAGTGGTAGAGCCCGAAACTTCTTTGGCAGGAATGTGTCAGCTTGTCCGCTGCCAATTTATTGTAAGGACAGTCTGATTAGTAATTTTAGTCTCTTCCCCTTCCCACCCTTTTAGTACAAGGAAAAGATGAGAAAGGAAAGTGGATTTGCCGGATGTGGAACATAAATTAGGGAATAGCGTCATTCTGTGTGTCCTCTCTTGATTAAATGAAGACAATACATCAGCGAATGTGGTCTATGACAGCGGTAATATCGCTATTTTGGCGAATTCCAATCCACAGTAAAACTGTAATATGATAAGCATTGTCCATTCTGTGATTTTATAATTGTTATTAATGAATAAAAACTTTTGATGTAACATTGTTTTATAATATTTATTTTGGAATTAATTGAACATCTCGATATACAAAATATATTTAAATTTAACAAAATAAATTAGCTTAATTATAACTTATTAAAGTTTTGAAATAAGCATTAAAATACGTTCACAAGAACAACACTACCATGTTTCCATTGTCAAGATTTGAAAAAGAAACAATGTTTGTAGTGGAAACAGAGAGTAATTAATGACAGCGATGCAATACACTGTGTACAACATAGTATATGTCGTGAAATATAAGTGAAATTAAATGCAGCACTCAAAGTAAAGCTCTTAGTGTAGATTTTTGATACTAAATGACTAACTGCTGCGATAAGTCAAGACCCGGGCCTAGCATGAAGATTTATAACAAATTATTCCTAACATCAACTGAAATTTCATATATATTTTATCGATGTCAATACGAATTCTTTCTAGCAAATTTTCTTGCTAGGCCCCATGGTGTTGCAAAAACGTACTAGGATCAACTTCCGAAAGAGAATATTATTTAACATCCTCGTATTTATGTCAAAGTGAGAGAAATGTGCAAAATAGACATACCTTTTTTTCTACAGGCAATAGTTTAAGATCGATTAAATTTCTTTAACTAACATCATAACTTCTGGCTTCAAGTATACATCTTTATTGGGACTGTTGTTAATCTCCTCGAGGATGGAGGGATCCCAGGAGAATGTGAGGACGGTGGCCGGCACCAGGCGTAGGTCTATCAGACTCTTGGATCCATCTTCATCAGATGTCAGCTTGTGACCAGTCGGTGTGTTTAGGATGAAGGGAAGGTCTCCATGTTCTAAGTGTTCTTGAACAAATTCGTGAATCTCATTGTAACGTTCGTATACTGAGAATGTTCCCTGGAAAGATTTATTTTACTGTTTAAAAGTGAATTTTACATGAAACTAGCTTTCCGCGGCTTAAGAAATCTTAATTAGTAGTATATGTGTTCTTCCAGACTCTGTTTTATATCTAGACCAAATTTCAGCAAGGCAAGTTTTGCCGTTGTGAAGATATATAAGTATACATTTTTATCTTAATAAGTCTGTAATCGTAGACTTATATAAACATTTTTGTATCATCAATTTAAATACAAAAACTAAACAAAATAAATCCATAGGCAAAGACAGTTTTCTGACGTTAACATAGTGGGCGCTAGTGAGCTGTACCTGTAGTAGAATGCCGTCTGGGAAGCGCACTCTGATGAGAGCGAACTTGTATCTGCGCATCTCTCTCAGTTCGTCCTTCTCCCTCATGGCGCGCGTGCGCAGCATCTGACTCTTCTCTATAGCCTCCGTACTGCCAATATTACAAAAAAAACATAAACCAGACACATAAAAATAATCAAATCCTACTTATAAGTCGACAAAGCAAAAAAATTATAATTACAGTCGATTCCTTAAACCAAAAATAATATTAGAAGAAAATCTTAACATAAAAAAACTGCTTAACATATTAATGACATCTTCATTCGAGATCGTCGGTGGCTCAGGGGTCAAGCACTTGACTTGCAATCTTCAGGTCCTGGGTTCGAATCCCGCCGTGTACCAATGTGTTTTTCGATTTCCGATTTACATATGTTCATTTATCCGACGTTCTTACGGTGAAGGAAAACATCGTGATGCAACCTGCACATATCTGAGAAGAAATTCAAAGATATGTGTGAAGTCAACCAACCCGCAGTGGGCCAGTGTGGTTGACTATGGCCTAATCATCCTTAACTTAGGGTAGGCTCCGAGCCCCTCGGTGGGGACGTATAGTGAGCTGATGATGACATCTTCATATTTAAAATAAATAATAACAAAAAGTAGTCCAATTACGATCTCACCGTAACAGCTGTTCCCTCTTTAGTTCTTCAGCGGAGAGGGCATAGAATGCCGGTGGCAGTGCCAGCTGGTGCGCGGCCTGAGAGGGCAAAAGCACCTGCACATTTCTGTCCAACTCCAGCTGGATAGGCTCAGCACTGCGCAATGCATCTATCAATGTCTGGAAACAACACTCACTTTACTGTCAAAAAAATCATTTAAACCTTTAAGTATAATATTGATTTGGTTTCATTTATTAGTTACTTAAAAAGTCCCTTAGTGCCCGAGATATCCATACTAAGTAATTGCTAATGAAACAACTAAATGACTGAGACATTTCTAAATAATCGTTTTTACTAAAACAAGTTCAGTGCAAGGCACTGAATAACTTGGTACTGAATTTATGAAGAAATCAATAAAAACCCACAGTCATTCCGGAGAATAGAAATCAAATGAAAAATTACTTGACACAATCAACTCAATTGATCCTGTGTAAGACTGAGATGGACATTTTTGTCTTTGTAACCAAATTATTGATGAATATCTTACCGTTAAACTTTCAACAGAAGGCACATTTTCCTTTTTGAACACCATGTATTGCTCATCTACTCCTTCCGGATTGAGTAAAGTCTCCTCTCTAAAGCCAGCTGCTAACAGCAGTTCTAACGCGCCTTCTATTGGCTGTACACGTTCACAAAATGCTCTGAAAGAATTTTCTATGTTATATTCCTGTCTCTTTCTTTAATGTTCTTTATCGTATCTTCCGTCTCACTCATGTAACAAAATCTATGTAAACATAACACAATTTTGATCTTTGGACAAATTTGAACATTGTAATTCAAATGAATTGTTAATCAAACAATCTTAAAAATCAGATAATGTATTCTGATAAATTAAAAAGTTTACTTTAAAATACATAAAGGATTAGAAATAATAAATAAGTAATTATTTATCTAGAACACATACCTGTTAGACATCCTTATCTTTTGATATTTCTCCTGTTCCGGGTAAGTAATTATATTCTCCAAATATTTGCAAAGTGTTTCCACACATGTGTCTATCTATAAAATTAAAAAAAAATAGTTTTAGTCATCAACAACACAAATAAATCACATACGAAATATGTTTTTTTCTTTATATACAGACACACCAACTTTATTATAAGTATAAAGCTATGGCAGTTTACATCTCCTGACCTAATTTGCCTAGAAGAAATTCTACCATCCTTGATACCACACATTTCCACACATATTTCCTTTACAAAATTTACCTTTACTCAATTTATATAATCTTTTTATGAGACCAATAAAGTGTTACTAAATAAAATACCTTCTCTCTGTTGTTATTACAAGACTGTATGATGAGACAGGCGGTCAGACCTCTCTCTTCCTCTAACTGTTCATAGAGAAAACTCTTTATGTTCCTCTTCCATTCTTCTCTTGGTAAAATTTCATTACTTATTAATGGACATCTGAAATTTAACACAATTTAAATAACATTTAGTATGGTTTTGTCAATAATGAATAAAATGGGGCTTGATCACAATCCCACCTGATGTTTCGAGGTCAAAAGAACAATAGATTGGTTTAGTATCATTTTAATTAAGTACCTTAATGAATGAATGAGTTAGTAACAATTATAATTTAATAGTTACTAACAGTAACCCCAAGAAAGTGGTAGTTAATATTCATTCAGTCATTTTCATACAGTGGAACCTGGATGGACGAGAAACCACTATAAGCGAGATTCATTGTCTGGTCCTGGCAGAGGACCTCCATAAGCGAGAAAGCTCGAACCCCGAAAGAAACCTTTATAAGTGAGTAAAAAAGTGGTCCCTTGGTCTCACAAATATGATATGGATTAAGACATAAGTATACTTACTTAAAGAAAACACCAGAAGCTGCATAATTCTTAGGCACATCAACTTCCTGATCCACAGACTTCTTTCGTTCAGGAATGGTATGGGTACTTTCTGTTTCACAAGCCTTTTCATTTTCTAATTCTTTTCTTACTTGAGCCTGGAGGTGTTATGCAATTTAAAAATAGTAGCATAGATAGATAAAATTTATAACTGTATGTTAGTCTTTCAACAGTGGTAGAGCCCGCTTTAACATCTTTGAATGAATTGGCAGGTTCGCCGATGCTATACTACACCACAACCACACAGAAGACAGGCGTGAAGTGGACGCAATTCCACTTTACCTTTGATGTGTTTGGTAATGGAGACCTAACTTTTGTCCTCTTTCACTTCCCACGCTTTTTCTTATAAGTAAAGGATGGGAAGTTGAAGTGGATTTGCCGGATGAGAGGACCCATAGGAAATGAAAATATTATCTTTCTGTGCATCCCCTCCTCCATCAATTAAAGGTAGGCAACGCATCTGCAATTGCAGATGTCTATAGGCAACAGTCACTCAGCTATTTCGGCGATTTCAAGTGGCCAGTTGCTCATTTACCACCTTAAGATATTTAAAAATAGTCTTAGTCCTAATGTGTTCCTATACCTGCACCCTACCTATATTGTATGTAACCAGCAAATAGTTTATCATTAGAGTCAAGAAATCAATACCTACCTTAATAGCTGCAAGAGAAGTATTAAATGCAGGATTGTCTCTTTTCTGTTGTAACCTTGCTAAAGCTGCTTCAGCTGCAACTTTACTTTCCTGTGACAGCCCTGACCTGCGGACAACTGGCACCTCCTTTCTAGATGATTCAGAGCTCTGGCTCGTTGATTCCGTAAGCTTGTGCCCCGGGCCAGCTAGCTTGAATTTGGCGTCTGCTTTCTTCTTTTGAAAGAATTTCTTTATTTTATCAGCCATGTTTATATTCTTGGAGTGTGTTCTTTAGGCAATTTTAGTTTTGATACACTTTCTTTTAGTTGTTCTATTGTTGCCGAAGTTGCTGTAGATAAGATATGATATCTTGTATGACACATTGATATTAAGAAACAAAGAAGAAAAAAATATAGGATGCTGGAAATTAACAAAGGCAACTAAAGCTCAAAATTGAACTTTAAATTAAATATATATTCCAAACAAGTTTAAACAGTTTAAGCACTGTTAAACCACTAACAAAAATATAGTCTATTATTGTTCACTGACATGTTGTAAATCAATTTATTTTTAACAGCAGATTATTAACCAATTTGTAGAGATGTTCAGTAATTAACTTACCAGGTTTCATAAATCGTTCCGAAATACGCGATCCATAAACACGCCAAGAAATAAAAATCAATAACAAGGTAAACAATAAAATTAATGAAAAAGTTTTAAGTAATAGAAATTGGAATTCGTTGAAATAAAAAACTTCAGCTAAATCCTCGTAGAAGGACAGCTCACCAAAATTTACAAGAGTTTTTGGTAAATTTTCAACCGGCAACGACGAAACACAGGAACCAAAAAAGTCTTTTGCAAAGGTCAAAGTATCTTCTACTTGAAGATACAAAGCCTCAAAAAGAGATGAATTGAAAACGGCGGTGTCGAATAAAGACATTACACATTTAATTAAGTGGATCAAAGGAAATTTAACGACAAAAATAAAATATTCATACTTTCTTACAAATCACTACATAGATGTCATTTCACAAATGTCAAATGTCACGGTGAGATGACGGATGGGGTTCAATGTTGCTACTTTTAAAAAGGGGTAGGTTGGAAGAATAGCAAGATAAATTGAATAAAGCTGATCTTCAAATCAGCAGCAATTGGATGGTAAATTTTACGATGGGATGAGAAACGAGAACAAATTGTTTGTATTTTTGCTATTATTTTTTAACAGGGGTTATCAGTTTCTCTGTCTTAAAAGTAGTATACTACTAGTACTTAGTTACTTAAAGAAAATAAATTCAGAAATTAAAAAAATTATAAAAGAATAGATCATATAATATGGTCACATTGAAATAAAATACTTAAGTGGTTATATTAGTAACTATAAAATTAATTGCTAGAGATACTTATATTTACAGACCCGTATTTAAAAATTATAAAATTTTATTGAAATGCGCGGTTAAGCGTAATCTTTTAATGAATACCCGCACGCGATCCTGTAATTTCCTACCACGTAGTTTGTTAACTTTTTGCGCTGTTTTTTACAACTAAATTATGTTTATTGAAAATATGAAGCGCCTATAGCGTTCAACAATTTATTTGTCAATGATATTTCAAATATCTCGGCATGTATTTGAAAGGGAGATATGTCCTTACACTAAACACTTTTATACCTACTGTTGTATATAAAAATCAATTGCTGTTTGTTAGTCTTCCTAAAACTAGGAAGTCTAGGGAAGGTTTAAAAGGTGACAAAAATTCAAATAAATGAAGGGCACTAATTATTTTTTTTCATACCAAGCGGAAAGGGGCCGCGGGCGACAGATAGTACCGAATAAAATTTTGTTTGTAAAAATATCTCTAAGTTTGGCTCAGTATTTGCATGGGGCTTAGTATAAGGTTATGCAAATCTCAAGGGTGATAACGGCTTTTAAAACTCAATGATTGAACCCGACAATAATGTATGTAGCGGCTAAACCCAACAAACGATTCTAATCGGAGATAGAATGGAAACCATTATTATTTTAGGCATGAGGGGTAAATTTTTTTTATACATTTGCTCTTTTAACGATTAATCAGGTTATTCGTTTGATACTATGATCTGTAGATGTTGGATTAAAATGTATTGAAAATTAGACTTTTTCTCTCTCTCTCTCTCTCTCTCTCCCTGTCTCTCTCACTCTCACCCTCTCTCTGCCTTTCTTGCATCCTACAAGGTGGTGGGGTCAGCTTTGATCTTCAAAAATCTTCAAAAATGATTATTGCGTAATATTCGATAAATACTATTATGTTAATTTTCATCAGCTCACTATACGTCCCCACCGAGGGGCTAAGAGCCTACCCTAAGTTAGGGGTGACAAGGCCATAGTCAACCACGCTGGCCCAATGCGGGTTGGTTGACTTTACACATATCTTTGAATTTCTTCGCAGATATGTGTAAGTTGCATCTCGATGTTTTCCTTCACCGTTAAATATATTATGTTCACACTATTAAAACAAATTTATGGATACCCTTAGTAAATCCATACATACAGGAGGTTATAGGCAATTAAGATAATATCCTTTAGAGATTTAAATCAACCTGTAGAAAGAGGGTCTACAGTAATAAATATCGGAGAGAGATATCCGTTCCTTTTGGGAAAATGTTAGGAAAAAATAACGGCATTGAAGATTATCCTGATATCTAAATTTACTTGCCTACGTTGAGAATAAATTTATAAATGGAATTAGGGAATAACATTTATAACTATGTATTCCATTTAAAGTTATTCCGTTTATTTTTGTATTCTTAGTAATATTATAAATGCGAATGTTTGGATGGATGGATGCTTGTTTAAATTTATCTCTGGAACGTCTGAACGGATCTCGATGAAATTTGGATTACATGTAGGATATAGTCTGGAAGAACATACAGGCTACTTATTAAGTTTTCTTTTAATTGCGCGCGGACGGAGTAAGGGGCGACAGCTAGTAGTCTATATAAAATACGTTATATTAACAATTCTAACTAAATCACAAAATGATAATGTTTATACTAAAAATAAAAAGTATACATATAATAGTTGTAGCTAAAATAATTAATAAAATTCCGTAAAAAATAATAAAAGTTAATCGAGTAATAAAAACAGTTATTCTAAAAAAGCTATTCGCGTCTTTAAAATTGGAGCGTAATAAAGATTAAAAAACCCTAATAATATTATGAAGAACGGTTTCTCATAAAAACGTCGACAAAATTACATTAATATTAAAGCAATATGGCCATCCAATTATATCGCGATGTTTGTCCACAAACAAAATCGGTCCTTACAAGATAATAAAAGAAAAAAAAAGTAATTTCTTTTAAAAAATACACTTTTATTATTCGTGTGTTTTTTCTTTCTTTTGTATTAAATACATAATGAGAAAAGTAAGCAATTCCTTTGCTTGTCTAATAAGAGAAAGGGAGTGCGGAATTCTTTGAATATTTTTCTTCATTTCTCTCGGCCACGCTAATTGTTTCTTTTGCTTACATGCAACAAATAATCAAAGAAAAGTCGAACATGAAAATTATAACGACCTGACCGTATTACTACAATAAATATCATACACTAGCTGTCGCCCGCGACTCTATCCGCGCGGATTAAAATAATAAAAAAAAAAAACAAAACATAATTACTATGCTTTGTCTTCTTCCAGACTATGCACTGCCAAATTTCATCAAGATTTGTTGAGCCGTTCCGGAGATACCTTCATACAATCATCCATCCATCCTTACATCCATCTACGCATTTATAATATTGGTAAGATAGTAAGAAGTAAATTAATTTTATTAGCCTAAAGACTTTAACTAAATTTAATAATAGTTTATACCCGCGCCTTCGTCTGCGCGGAAGTACAAAAAAATCTAGCAATAAATTCAGCCTATTATAACGAAGCTTTCTTTAACGAAGTAACAACCCGAGCCGAGGCTCCTGAGGGAGCCCTCGAGTCTTGTTACTCTTAAACGAGGTTCAGGCTAAGCGCCATCTGCGCTCGGCCACCTCAAGCCCGGTGAAGCTGTAAATGCCTCTTCAAGACAAACAGTGACTACTCACAAAAAAGAAGCTTTCTAATGACAAAATAACTAGAAAAAGTCCAGTAGTTTTTAAGTTTAATAGTTTGGCATCACACTTCTCTGATCTTCTCGCATCTTTGGTCAGTTGACAGGATTTAGTTATTTTATACAAGGTAAAAGTTGAGTTAATGCAATATAAAATATTGATGGATCGACCCACTTTGGTACCATTGAAAAGGGTCACAATAATAATTGGCCATACTTTTCCAGTCGTCTCCGAGCACAATGAGGAAAGTTTGAACTTGCAGTTGGCAATTGATGGTAAAAGTTCTTTAAAGTTCGCTTATAATGGATCACAGGCTACGTCGATTCTCAACAAAGTTATGGAAACTTTTCATTTGATAAAAAAATATTTTTAACGAATTTAACGGTCTAATATGATGACACGCGAAAATGTAAAGACATTTTCTGTACAATTTTCCTGCCGAAAAACGTCAAACGAGTAAGCGATGTGACCACGCAGACATCTGAACTATAGTAACAAGTTCGTTATTTACCCCCAATACTGTTTTTCTTTGCAAATAATCTATTCGATGAAATTATGAAACAGAAGAAATACAGAAATAATTATATTCGATTTACATAATAAAATAATTCTCGTAACGTGTCCTTTAGTAAACTGTGAACCAATTATTGGTTCATCTGTTTTTAACGACCTCTGTCGGCTGGTAGAGTCATTTTATTCTTTTCCTTAATACAGCTAGGAAAGCTACTATGCCAGGTTTTTATAAGAAATACATATTTTATATTGTTTTTGAAACGATTATTTTTCCATTAGAAAGATATAAAAACTTAAAAAGGTAATTTAAAGGTTTTTTTTTTTATTAGAGACTGGGGCAAAATTATTTGATTCAACGCCCATGGACATTCGGAACGCCAGAGGAACCGCAGATGTGTTACAGGCCTTTAAGGGAGTTGTACGCTCTTTTCTCAAAGGCCGCTAAGTCTTAACTGTTTGGAAATACCGCTGAAGTTAGAGTATTCCAAAACCATCTCAAAGGCTGGCTACGCATCTGCGGTTCCTCTGGTATTGCTGATGTCTATGGGCGTCATTGAACACCTTGGTGTTCCCTCTACTCGTTTGCCCCCTTCTGTTGTATAAAAAAACCTCGTCTTTGTGACACCATTGAGATGATATGAACGGGACGACAACATCTTTTCATTAAATCTTAAATCAACTACAGGATGTTACTATAACATTGAAATATAAACCTACAAGGTGAGATGAAGGAAGTAGTGACGTTAGAGATGATAGATCTA